TCACTGCAGGAGCTACATGATATCATCAGCTCGCTGCAGAGCAAACACCCCGAGGCTCTTTACGTTGTAGCCGGAGACTTTAACCACGTGAATCTAAAGGACTGTCTCCCAAGCTTTTATCAACATGTGCCGATTCCGACACGTGGAGACCACATGCTGGACCGTGTTTACACGAACGTAAAAGATGCATACAAAGCCGAACCCCGCCCCCACCTAGGACTGTCAGACCACATCTCAATCTTCCTGGCTCCTGCTTACATGCCCCTGCTGAGATGCTCCAGACCGGTACAAAAGAAAGTTAAATGCTGGATCCAGGACAGTGGCCCCATACTGAGAGATTGTTTTGACCGAACAGACTGGCAGGTTTTCAAAGAAGCTGCTGAAAATGGAGGTTTGCTTGATCTTGACCAATACACATCCTCAGTTCTGGGTTACATTAGTACATGTACTGAAACCGTTTCCACTATCAGAAATGTTAAAAGCTACCCAAACAGAAAACCTTGGATGAATGCAGAGGTACGTACCCTGCTGGAAGCCAGGAACACTGCCTTCAGGTCTGGAAACTCAGAGGAGCTGAGTAGGACAAGAAAAGAGCTGGTTGCTGGTATTAAGAAGGCTAAGGCCACATATGCGAAGAGGATCGAGGGTCAATTCATCTCACAAGACCCTCGGAGCATGTGGAGGGGCATTAAGTGCATAACAGATTATAAAGGAAGGAGCGAACAATGCCCCAAAGACCCATCTCTGCCTGATGCCCTCAACAAGTTCTATGCACGCTTTGAAGACCCGAACAGACCACCCAGCACCAGACTCACCTCACTAACAGATGAAGAGCATCTCAGCGTGACCTCAGCAGAAGTAAGGAGTACCTTCAGGAGGATTAATCCACACAAAGCAACTGGCCCAGACAACATCCCCGGAAAAGTGTTGAAGGAATGTGCTGATCAGCTCTGTGGGGTGCTGGCAGACATCTTTAACACCTCACTTACCCTGGAGACAGTTCCCACCTGCCTGAAGACTGCCACCATCATCCCAGTCCCAAAAAGCTCTACAGTGACTGGTCTGAATGACTATCGGCCAGTGGCCCTCACCCCGATAGTCACTAAATGCTTCAAAAAACTGGTCATGACTCACATCAAAACAACCATCAACATCAATGAGGACCCTCATCAGTATGCATACCGTGAGAACCGATCAACAGAGGATGCCATCTCCTCTGTGGTCCACACTGCACTCAACCACCTGGAGCAGAAAAACTCTTACGTCCGTATGCTCTTTGTGGACTTCACATCCGCCTTCAACACCATGATCCCCCAAACCCTGATGGACAAACTATCCACACTAGGACTAAGCCCCTCCATTTGCAACTGGGTACTAGATTTTTTAACAAACAGACCACAGTTAGTGAGGATCCACAACTTCTCCTCCTCCACCATAACCCTCAGCACTGGCTCTCCTCAGGGATGTGTGTTGAGCCCCCTCCTGTTTACTCTGCTCACGTATGATTGTGCAGCTACCCATCCAGGCTGTCACATTGTAAAGTTTGCAGATGATACAGCGGTGGTGGGATGCATCACAAACAATGATGAGTCCAGCTACAGGCAAGAGGTGGAACACCTGGAGAGCTGGTGCA